AAGTTGAAGAGGAAAAGTGACAGCGGGCATCATTGTCTCACACCGCTGGTGATACTGAAGGGTGGCGACAGTTTACCATAAACCCTCACCCTGCCCGAACTATGCGCGTACAGCGCTTTGAAAATATTTACATATTTATCAGGCACACCTTTCCTCAACAGACAGTCCCAAAGGGCACATCGATCGACTGAGTCGAAGGCACCCTTTATGTCAAGAAACACGACAACGGTGGGTCGCCAATAAACATGGCGGTGCTCCAACACTTGACGCAAGGTGAAGATGTGGTCGATGCAGCCGCGACCTTGACGAAATCCGCATTGCTCTTCACGAATCTGGCTTTCACGAGTGCTAGTCAGTCTGTGGAGAATGATAGAGGCAAGCAATTTAGAGGCAATCGAAATCAGACTGATCCCTCTATGATTGCCGCATTCCAAACGAGAGCCCTCCCTTGAAAATTGGGACAATGACGGAGCGGTTCCAGTCTGTCGGGACTGTCTCCTGCTCCCAAAGTTGTACTAGCAACTCGTGTATATCATCTATTAGAGCAGGTCCCCCGAATTTGAAGAGGGCTGGGGGAATTCTATCTGCCCCTGCGGCCTTATGCAATTTCAACAGCCTGATCGCACGTTCGACTTCTGCACGTGATGGCGGATCCAAGGAGACGGCCCAGGGAGAAGGGCGCTCAATGCCCGAAGAAGAAAGCGATAACTCAGGTTGACTAAATTGCCTTGCAAAGTGTTCAGCCCAACGCTCCAAGCGTTTTGACAGGCTGTGGATCGGCTGCCCACTCTCGTCGCGTATGGTATCGCTAACATCAGGTCTCCTGCTGCCTGTTTCCCGTATCAGACGGAATAACTTACGATGATTACCCACGGCAGCGGCTGTTTCCATTTCCGATGCACGATGAGACCACCAGGTTGCGCGATCCTTCTTTAGGCTAGCACGTAGTTTTGCCCTGAGATTTTTGCGAGTCTCATTGTATTCGCTTCCAGCCGGAATACGTCGGCGAGCATCCATAAGTTCCAGAGACTGCGTAGAGGCCCAATGTCCGGTTTGACAATTTGCTTTGTCACATGAAGACATGCCTGCTAACAGCAACGCTTGATGAATATGCGACCAGTGATCTTCAACGGTGTTTAGTGGGCACTTGCTCAACCCAGATGTCAGCGCACTTTGGTACACATTCAGAACATCTGGCTTCGCCAGCTGGCTGGTGTCAATCCATTCACATCGACGTTGCGGACGTCCACCGAAACGCACCAAGAGGTCGGCGCAGACAAGTGCGTGGTCCGAGTCCACGCTAGTGCTCCAAATCGAGCGGCAGTTTTGGACACAACCTCTCCAGCGGTAACTGATCGCGATATGATCGATTTGCGTCCATGGCTGGCCCGAGGCTGCTGGCCGCCAAGTCACACTTCTGTGGGTGCTGTGTCGAAAGTTGGTGCTCGCGAGAAAGAGACGAGCATCTTCACACAGCTGTAGCAATCGCTCACCATTATCATTACGGGAGCCCACACCATATTGGCCACCCAGATGAAGCTCATCAGAGGACAATTTTCTGACTTGGGCGTTTAGGTCACCAGCCAACACCACAGTATCCGTGCTTCTTCTGTAACGAAGGAGCTTGTGCAGTTGCTGATAGAAATCATCTTTTACCGAATCAGTGCTACAGTTTGTAGGGGCGTAAGCCGCAATGACAAACAGGCACCGTTTGTCCCCGCGCGACTTCGTAGCACGGAACGAACCAGATAATCTAACGGTGCACATCCTACTGTTTACTGGGATCCAATCAATCAGGGCAGCCTCAGCCCGGGGACTCAAAACAATGCGGACGCCAGCTTGACCGGCATTTGAAGCTGCATCATCGCAAGACAGGCGCAATGAGAATGTGCCGCCAGTGTCGCCTGTGGGGGATCTCAGGGTAAGCACGGAGCTCGAACCTTGCAGGCGGGTTTCTGATAAACAGCAAATATCGATCGACAGGGTCTCTAGTGTGCGGGCAAGCGCTGCCTGTTGGCCAATCTGCAGCAAGGTGCGCAAGTTGAGGCATGCCAAACTTAGCGAGACACGAGGACGCCAAAGGGAAACGGATGAACTGACGTTGTCCGCATGGTTGAATATGGACTTGTCGACTGGATTGGAGCGAGGCCCTGCGATTGTGTGTGATTTGAAATTAGAAGACAAGCGACAATTAAAGTAAGCTGGGGGAGGGCCAAGAATTGGGGGATTGAAAATGGGGGGGATATAAGTAAAGTTGGAGCGGGACGATAAGGAGGAAAAAGCGCAAGAAGGGGTATAAGAAGATGGGAAGGCCTGAGCAGTAGCATCCATACCCCTATCCACCCTGCTCGATGCAGCAGATAGGGCGCCGTTTATTATCCTCTGCGAAGGCCAGAGCATCAAGAAAGTATTGTAGGAAACACAGATTACAAGGAAGCTTGTGATCATTAAGACCACGGGCGAGCGAAGTATCGTCAAAGGGATGACAAACGTAGCGATGCGAACACCTGTGCCAAACAGTGGTACCATTGATAGAATCGTCAAGCAAAAGAGGAAACCGTTCACCCGCTGGAACACGAAGCAACCACCTGAGAGGTGATGGGACTTTGACACGTGCGTTCTCGACAGCAACAATTACCGCAAGAATACTACAGCCATATGGAAAAGGAGAATTGCTGGCAGGAATCGTCACTGACCGCTTGCGTGCCGCAGTAGGAAGCAGTGAAAACACACCTTGTCTACAGACAAGGCATATAAAATTTTCTAATTAGACGGTGCATACAGGGTGATTCAATGCAAACAAAACCGCCATAATGGTCTCAGATCCTTCACTGCGTTTAACACAGGTGAAGTAAATACTCTGAATAATTGAACAGAGGGAGCGTTTAACATAGTCAGCACAAGTGGAACCGAAGCTGTCAAGCCGAATGTGTGTAGAGACATTGCCGCCGTGTTCCTAGATCAAGCAACATAAAAATCCGGTTTAAAACCGGGTGCAGGCAATGGAAAACAGACCGTGTGCGAAATCAGACCCTTAAACTAGAGGATTATCTACGAATATCGTTAGTGTAAGTCGATAAGTCAATGGAAGTCCCCTGCTAACTAATAAGGGGGTAGCATTGCAAGAGACACGAATGAGAAGAATACACCGCTCTCTGGTGCATCACTCCGAGGTAAAAGGCCAATTAACGATATAGTGGAAAGTAGAGGTGAAGATTTCATTGAGTACGATCCAACAGAATATTAGGTTCAAGATAATCGACGTCCTTTTTGACAATATGACGTGTCACATCTGTGAGCGCGGCCAGACAAGTGCAAGTTTTGACGGTTTCGAACTTTGCCCATCAATGGCTACCTAGCTTGCGGCGAAAGATAGCAAACTAACAGATAAGCGTCAAGAACGACCTATGCTCTATGTTAGTAAAACCGCGCCTGTATCACGAAATCGATAGCCTCCGGAATTATGATCACGGATGAAAGAGCCATCAGCCTCTTCCAAATTTCCTGTGATGAGGCTGAAACCGGGCTCGCCTGGTCACCAGTGATGGACTCACTTGGTACGAATGCCTCTGAATGTAAATAAAAAAGATCAGACAGCGTATGCAGGGTTCCACTGATCTGCAGCGCGAACATACAAATAGAAAATGGACGAAAAGAGAATAATTTTCTTGATATCAGTGTTTAGTGCTCCTTTTCTTGCAATAAAGAATAATTTACTAGTATTCGATGGAATTTCTAACTTTGAAATAGTTGAACATGAAAATAACTAGGAAAACCCAATTTAGTGTGTGGAGGCAAATAAGTGCGCCGTTGCGATGGGCGAAAATGGTAAAAAAAACGGGTCTGATGAGTGAACAGCTGACAAAGTGAAAGATGTGTGTGTGTGTGCGCGCACATGGTTGCATATAAGTTAATATGCCGTTTTCCACAACCAACCACGACCGAAAAGCAAAATTTATCCCACGTACACGAAATTTCAGAAATCGTCCATTAAAGCACACAGAGTGCTCGTGGTAATTTGAAGAAAACGTAGTGCAATATACTGTTGTCCATATGTTAATGATAACTTATAATGTGTTTGCACACCAGATATGGCAGAAAAAGCTTTTTTGTATATATTCAAAATGCAGACCGACTCGTCTCTGTGGGCTGTTCTAGCGATGAAAACCAGCGCTGTAGTGAAAATAATCGGTTCCAAGCGAATCCCAATATATCGGTGTTAACACGTTTACCAGTAAGTTTAAAATGTGACAATGGAAACAATTGTCGGTTAGACGCAAGATGTGAATGTCCGAGTGAAAACGCTAGGAACTCTACCATGTCTAACGATAAGGCATGAGACGAGAGAGTTGACAAAAGGTGTGTGTATCATGTTATAAAGTACACACTGAGACGATAAATTCGTTGTTTTACAATAGTATGAGGTCACTCGCTGTTAGGCAGCCAAAATTTGTCTCGTTCGAGGAAACCAGAGAATAGTGAAATGTAAAACGCTGAAAGTACAGAAAAAGAGAGAAGAGAAATTTGTTGACCATACGCCCGTGCGTCGCACCGTTTCGCTTAAATACGACCACCATCAGTCGCGCGCGGGATACAGATACCGTAAACAAGTCCGCAATCAGGCAGATTTGAACCGGTAACCTTTGAGTTACGAAGTAGATTCCTCAACCGTTCAGTGACCGGACGATATAGAAGTGTGTGCTAAACCAGTATCCATAGGTCACAAAACATTAAGTCGGAATGGAATTACTCGCACAAAAACATCCACCAGTGAGGTAAAAATGAAGATAATTTGAACACAGCACCGTTTGGATTCAACGAAAACCTGATTGGCTTTCAGTAAAACTAGATTACTTCACACACATAGCTCAGAGTCAAGGTAAATCACTAGTTGCATACGCTAGCACATTCAGGTTTCGGTACCCAGTGTGAATACCCCGCGGATTGACTAACAGATAAACCACCGAAACGTGTTACAGGAAGCACATAATATCACTCACCAAATAGCCGACGAATGCAACGTAGTAGAGTAAGAGTAGTGCCATTCCGAGATAGATAGCCCAATGTGAAGGCAAACGGTCCCGAATGATTATGGAGGCCAAGAACAAATTCACAGAGATAACGCCAACAGACAGCAAATTAGCTACAACTGTGCATGGGCTGGGAAGGTGAACAGAGAGAGAGAGAGGGGGGTCACATGCTAAGGAGTGCATTAATTTCTCCAAGCAAACAACTCAGTAATGAAATGCCGGTGGATGGGCAGTAAAAATGCAGGAGTGCAGCGAACCAGAGGATCAAAGGAGGATGAAATAAATAAAAGCAAGAGGAGGAATAATCCCAGGTACAAAGTTACGTGGAGTAGTGTAGCCAGACACCAGAGCCAGAACAGGTCACGCAACACATCTAACTAATGGGGTAGAGTGCCGAGTAGCCACTCAAGAACCGAAAGGAAGACTGGGTGGCGAGAAAAAATACTGAAAAGCATTGAAAGAACACGAATGCTGGTGGACGCATGCATCTCGTATTATCTCCTTATTAACATTAGCAATAACTGAGATGCATATATGTGCCTAAGAGTGGGAGCGACGCATCTTCGTGATGAGGAACGCGGCTCGTTGGCTAGTGAGTCCTTTCTACGCTGAGACAAAGGGTCATTCTGCAAAAGTCTCAATGACTCGCATCAGCTCACTGATGACCTACAGTAAATCAACCTGTCAGATAAATCAATGGCTCTCGCTATGTTAGATAATAGACCGCGTGAGCGAATTGGCCTAAAACTCTGAGTATACGTTATCGATTCCAATTGAAGTGCAGAGAAATCCCTTGCTATTGCGCAAACATGTGGATTTCATTTCCGAACAACGTCAAAACCGCCAAATCAATAGCGGAGCAATAGGCAACCCATTGGACCATATACTCACTGATTTCTTCAGGTTGATGAGGGGAAACAGCATTCCTACAGAAATAGCCCAGGTACCCTACTACAAATGCTTTGTGGATGATATTTTGTCGGAGCAGCAGCTTGTGCAGATAGTAAAACGTCTCAACGGAGTGCATGCTAACTTACGGGTTACCTGTGTAGTAGAACATTGTCTGCCATACCTGTATATCCACATTAGTCGCGAAGAAGATGGATTTAGTGAGAGGTCCGTTTATCGAAAATCCACTTAGTCCGACTAGTGCTTGCATCTCACCAGCTTCACAACAGTGCCGTACAAGACACTAGTTAGTTGTGTTAGACAAATTTGATCGACCGACCGTCTGGCCGACGAACTAGCGCTAATTACGGCAACACTTCCAGCGAATGGCTACCTCCGATGATTTAGTGAGAAACGAAGCCAATTATGAAGGACTTAGTGCATATATATGGAGTTATTATTCAAGGTGGCTTCAACGCGCGTGAAAACAAATGAGCAGATAAATTCTGCAACGTCTGGAGGTTATAATGCTACTCAATTTGGCGGTGAATCACACGAAGGAAGCGCAACCTATCGGGCTAGCTCAGTGTGCTTACCAATTCGTGTATAACTGTGGAGCCAGTTACATAGACAGAATCGATAGAACTTTCAGTTCCCGAAGCATGCATCGAGATGAGTTCAGTGTGAAATAGCACGAAGTCTAAATTCAGTGTATTGTAACGCATTTCCTGGCAATTGGATGGTCTGATCATAATACTCTAATTCGATTGTGGTTTGTCGATTCGATCTATGCAATTATCATCCACTCGCACTGACGGCGTTTGGCTGAATTCCTGTCCGCTAGCCGCGCGTCGATTTTGTTCGCCTAATTTGCTAGCCACCAACACATGCGTCACCGAGGTACCGGATGTTAAGGCTGTGCAATGGTTTGCATGCCCCGGGAATTCATAAAGCTACGCTAAAAGAAACGCCTAACTTGTCTTCGGTCATTTGTGTCAAATGTGTGCACCGTTAGTAGTCGTACAAACCAGGAGATGCTGACGGTCCGCTTTTACGTGAACAGCCACAGGAGACTGCATGTTATGAACGACATGTTGAAATAGACGAACGTAATGTGCGCGTTGGCCTTGACGACGGTAGACAGCAACGGATATTCACTGGTTTGCCTCGCGTTTGGTTACCGACCCTGGTGGAATACTGCTCAAATTTAGTGACACCAGGCAGTGAGCAATACTGAGGCTTCTCATCTTGTCTTACGCAAAAGACTAGCCGACACCTCACCGGAGTGTCAGGTGAAATCGATCAGCTACCGGTGACCGGGTCGCGTGCGTCGCACACTTACGAGTGGCTTGGTTAGACGCGCAGTACGCCAATATTGTGCTTGGCTGGATAAAACCCAGAGATGATCAGTCAGTGACGTGTTGAAGGAGTGAAGAAACTCACGTACGAGTCGGACTAGTCTGCAAATCAGCGGCAGAAATAAGACATCGGAAATAACGCCGAAGGGAAGTGCTTGGCACCCTTGCAGTTGTTTCATTGTAGCTCAATCTGAACTATTCCATTTAACGATTATAAGTTATATTTATTTCTATTATGGCAGTCAACAGGTGCGGGTTAATTGGAAACACTCGCTGTGCTTGAACGAACTGTAACGCACGCAGTCCCAATCTACATGGCGATTCGATCAAGTGAACCACTGCCAATTAACGTCGCCCCGATGCATCATGTAGCCGTGAGCCATACTCATAGTGGCAAGGCGATCACTTGAGCTCACGTCGCGGACAGTTCAGGAGTATGCCTCATGGGATTGCACATGTGCAACGTGTCCCATGACCACCAGTCCTTGACTCATGCTAACGAAGAACTCGAAGTGGTTGATCAATTCACTTATCTTCGCAGCTGCATCAGCAACGATGGGCGCATAGAAATTGAGGTCAGCTCACAAATTGCAAAGGCCAGAGCTGCCTTACTGAACCTATAGCACGATTGGCGATAAAGTGGTTTCCCTCCATCCGTGTATACAAGGCCACAGTGAGGGCCGTTCCACTCTCTGGTAGTGGGACTTGGCCCCCTCGGTCTGAAGAGCTGAGGCGTCTTCAAGTCTTTTGTTATAAAGCTGCCTTCGTATTGCTGCACTGCTGCTATTCTGCGCCTACGACCGCCTGGTTGCTCAGTCACGCGCCAAACCAACCGACGGGATACAGAGGGCCAAGGCTCGGTAAACAGGGAGTCTATTCTACACGATAGGGCAGTTCTATTTATTGAGGAACGAAACACACTAATTTTGGAAGCGTTTGGCTCTCAGCCAATGTGAGCTATTTCCGTCCCATGGATTTTCCATATTTGGCAGAATGGTTCGCCCCCGCTGACTCGGGCTTGTATCTGCCGGCCAATCAGTTTGCACCCGATGCCCAAATTTGGCAAAAGAGTCGAAGGTCGTTCCACGCTAGTGCTGGTGACCTCCGCATGCAGCAGACAGCTCACATGCTCCGCGGTAAGCCTGTGCGCGACCTCGTATCTGGACACTGGCTCCGCTTACCTCTCTATTATCTTTGATCATCGTTGTCAGCGAACCATTGCTGGTGTCGGATGGCACCAGCGTGTCCGCAACGATGATGTGGGTAGGCGAGTACTACGTAGTGATAATCATCCTAGCTCCCTAGAACAACAGATAGCACTGAATACGTTGCGTTGGCTCGGGCAGGTGCCATGTATGCATGGTCACCGCTTACTTAGGGAGGCCTTCTTTACTCTGGCAGGTGTGGGGTGGCGATAGACTCGAGGTGGACAAAAGTTAACTTGGCAGCGGGAAATGTAGCTACTGACGACCAAACTGGGTGCCGTTGGTCCGTCTCGTCTTCCGGGCTGGAGTCCACATGATTCACCTTGTGCTTGGCTCGAGACTTTCCAGGACATGGCTCGCAACCGACACCAGTGGCGCGTCTGCTGCCGTCTTCTAATCGGATTGCCTGTTTAAAGTATGTTTGGTGCTGAGTTATCTGCGGGATAATGGCTGATTATGACGCATGGCAGTAAAAGTCACAAGGAAGTTGTCTCGCCGATGCCGCCTTATCTTTGCACCATAGCCAGCTGTTTGTGACGGTAAATTGTTAACACAAGATGTAAGCGCCTTGATCATTAATGTTTGCTTAGGGCATTAAGGTTTTCCGGTAAGTCCCCTTCTCTCCCCATTATTATTCTTTATTCCATAGGTCATCATGGGTGTATGACAGCATCAGTTCAAATGGCTGATGTGCTGCTGTTTATGATGATGATGATGATGAGGTAGTCAGAAACGCAATGCAATGCTGCACAGTCCACTATGCGTCGGCAATGCTTGTGGGCTATTCTAATAAAAAGGGTATCTTTTATTCGCAAATCGACTGACTGTGATATCAATATGAATGAGAAAGTCCGTGCCGAGCACAGAGATGTGGAAACTCTGACACAGTTGGTATAGTGGAAACAAGGATGATAGCGATTAAGTATCGAAGTCGCATAATGCTTCCAGCAGACCATACCCAGATGAGTGGCTAGGTGAGAGGTCTGGCGTTAGCGTTTGCTTCGAAAGTCCGAAAAGAAAGAGACTAGATGAACGGAAGTCTATTGCTGGAAAACACGCGTAGCAATAAGCTAGGCGGGTGGCGAGGTATGTGAAGATAAATGCACGATGGGATACATGCAAGTTTAACGTTAATACAATTGGCACCGAAATCTGCCGCATTAGGAGAGGTAGTTGCGACCACAGTCACATTTAGTGAGGCTTGTATGGTGTGGTTTTCCCTAAGTAGAACTGAGCCGATTAACGTGAATAGTGTTGGGGATAAATAACAGCGCTCGAGTCATGAGTCATTTAGGCTTAGCATATAAGACATAAGCTGCAATACTCAAGGTACGGGGTCCGTTGATCCCACTAGGTATAAAGGAAGTGGTAGTGAGACTGTGCTCTCATAAGGTTCACGGACTCTTCTGGAGGTTGTTAGTGAGCCAGGAGGACCTTCGAAAGTACCAACAACCGCAGCTCAGCGAGCCATTAGGACATGCAAAACATAGCGCAGTTTAATAAGTAATGATCATGATTAGTGTGAGATAAGAAAACTACTAGGGAAAATAAACAATGTCATCAAACGTTGCAGGTGCGAACAGCACTGGAAATTCAGTGTAAGCAAAAACTCGGTTAAAATGACTATAGCATGGAAGATTTATCCTCGGCGATGAAGCGGATGATGAGGTGAGTACCAGAACTGGTAGACACAACGAGGCGCACCTCGTTTAACGGCCGACTACCGCCGGATCGACGTCAAGTGGTGTGTTAAGAAAAACGCTGGCAAATATGCCCAACTTGCATGTCGCAGTGCCTCGTGTAATAATGGTCTCCGGTCACCCTTCGGCAGTAGCCACCTGATGACATCGTTAAGACCAACCAATGATAAGAACTGGACGGCCGACGTAAGAATCCCCTGCGCAACGCCGGGCACACGATCTGCAGCATGAATTGCAAGCCTCATCACAAAGCACAGTACAGTGCTCACAATATCGGGTTGAGTTGGTCACAACAAATCTGCTGTTTATGAAGGGGATAGCAAGAAAGTACATAAGGAAGTGGAATTTACATTGAACTGCTGAATTCGCCCATCACAGATTTGCTGCTGGTGAAGGTTAGGAGAGGAATGAGAGCGAATGGAAGTTGCACGCTCATCAGCACGTTCAGGAGATCATTCATTCCGGTTAAATCCGAGATACCTGAAAGAGGAAAAAAACATGCATGGAATTCCAGTCAGGGGGTTCAACGTATAAAAGTGCGATGGGAGCATCCAAAAACTCATCGGTGAATACTGATTTGTTGCGCAAATAAGGTACATGATTGATTCACGTTGGAAGAAAGGTGAGGCATGAGGAGACTGAGTTTGTTAGCACTGGCTACCGGACCCATTGGCAACATGGGCTAGTATGGGCGTTAAGAATGACGTCCCGAAAACATTGCGCCCCATGACCGGTTTCGAATGCATTCGATCTCACCAGGTGGAGATGGCAGACACTCGAACCCTCGGAGCTTTTGTGATGTTAGCCAAAAGCACTACTTCAATCCACCTAACTGCGACAAGCAGCACTTCTCACAACGGCTAATGACTGATTGGAGGGGTCAATATGAATCACACGTTTTGTAAATGGTTGAAACGCACAGCCCCAATGTGGACTGTGATCCGCATTGAAGTGAACCTTGATCAATTAGATTGCGGGGGTAATAATAGAAGCATTTGAATATCAGGTGTTGCGTGACCGAAACCACTACAATCCACAATCGGGCTCAAACCTATCTGTTCATTCCACCTCGAGTTGATCAAAGTTCACCTCAACACGAGTTGCGGTTCACATTGAGATTGCGCATCGCCATTCACACACACATCTAGTGCGTCAAATAACCGTACCAATGTAAGACCGCAACATTTGTGTACTGGCAGCTGCCTATAAAGCAATCAACGACTAGATAGATGTCTTACATTAGATAAAAAGAAATCCGGAGTATATCGTGGACCCCGCGAGTGACAGCTGAGATATTCTACGGATTAAGCGCATTCTGTAAGGCCAACTGCGTTTTTCCGTTAAATTCCACAGCGACATGAATTCGTTGCAGTTTCTCAGCTTCAGATTGTAGCGGAACAACGAAGCATGTGGCTACGCGGAGGACACATAGTTCAACACATCAATCATAGCCACAACTGGACTAAAACCAGTGACAGACGATGCTAAGTTGGCTTTAGCCCACTAATAACCAAAGGTAGAAGGAAGCATGCAGTGGAACTGCTGTAAACGCTCCTTCCTACCTCTGCTCTCTACCACTCCCAGTCGCGTCAAGGGAAAGAACTCACACAGGCTCTGCACGCAAACCTTCTATTTACAAGCCTGGAGAAGAGTAGAACTAGCTGTGTTTTAAGAAATCACTGGCCAACTCGATCGATCGCCTGATCGACCGCACTGAGGCAGACGCTTCCCAAATTCCGCTTTGCTTATCTCTCTATTACCTCTCCCTTCAAGTTGATTGCTCCTACCTATTTCAAAACTTCAGCTTGATCGTAGCTTTTTACCCTGGGGCGCACTTGTAGCCATCGCGCTGGCCTTCGTCTTCGGCTTGGCCTGCATGACAGGTAGTGTGGCGCCCGAACGACCGACTGTGCTCCGCTTTGTGGAGCAGTTCTGTTTTCAAACCCAAATGTATCCAGTAGTATGTCCCACTGTAGCGGTGCTGGTTCTTGAGGCCTTTGTTTCCATGCCGCGGTCGTAGTTGATTGACGCGTTTGGTCCACTTGTCCTTTCCGACCATTATCTCATAAATACTCTTACGCCTCTTACCCGTAACCGTTCCGCCAGACCATATTCCCGGGCTCTGGAAGTTTCGTGCATACACCAAGTCGCCGATCTCGAACTTACAAAGCCCAGCATCCTGCTCCGCACCCGTTTATCCGTTGAGTTTTCCAACATTTCTGGGGGCCGGGCTAACAAATGTCATCCTAATTTTTCGTCCAAATAGACAATCAGAAGGAGATTTACCCTCCGGTGTGTTCGGATTCGGAGTGTTTCGATACATTTTCAAAAATGGCTGAATTGCATCTCGTAACACCGTTGTCCCTTCCGCTTTGAGAAGAGCAGGTTTAGAGGTATCTACAAACCGTTCGGCCCGCCCATTCGATTGTGGATGGTACGGTGGCGAAAAGTTGTGCTGGATACTGTTTTGCATGCAAAATTCTCGGAACAGCGTTGAGGTGAACTGTGCTCCATTGTACATAACTAGCATCTCCGGTGTGCCAAAATACTGGAACAGTTTGTTCAGCTCATTGATAGTATGCTGGTCGGTGGGATTTTGCATCACATCGGGCCGTTTTGTGTAGGAATCAACAAAAAGCAAACAAGATTGACCGTTGATTGGTAACGCATAATCCAAGTGGACTGTCTGCCAGAGCTTTTCCGACTCGGGTCAGGGTTGACACGGACATTTCGGAGGTGCCTTTTCCGATTGCTGGCAAAACTGTTCGATTTCTGCATCCATTTGAGGCCAATACGCAAAACATCGTGCCAGCACCTTCATTCCGCTGGTTCCCGAATGTCCTGAATGAAACTGATGTAGTAATCGCTTCTGCAACTTTCTTGGTACTACGACTCGGTCTCCGAACATTAGACAATTGTCAACGACCGAAAGAGATCTGCGTGGATTGAAGGTCGTAACAGTCGAAATTCCGAAATTAGGCCAACTGGACTGCACAAACTGAATTAATTTCAGCAAGATCTCGTCTTGAGCCGCCTTTGCACGAATCGTGTCCGACGTTACTGGCAACTCCCTTAACACTGTCAACCAGAATGTGCTGAACTTCCGACTCGAATTTGATAGATGCAATCACGCAGTCATCGTTTTCCTTCAAGTGGGAACTGGGGAGGCGAGGTAGAGCGTCAGCTTGGCCGAGTTGTTGTGTAGATCGATATTGTACATTGAAATCGTAAGCCAGCAGTAGGGTTGCCCATTTCTTTAACCGACTTGCTGTGAAAATGAGAATACCATTCTTTGATCCAAACATCGAGAGTAGAGGTTTGTGGTCCGTGATCAGTTTGAAATATCTATCAAATTAGTCTCTTGTGAAACCGTTCCACTGCGAAAACAATCGCCAGCGCTTCCTTCTAAAGTATTGTGTCACAACTTGCTGAGCTGTGTGGGGAAGATGATCACCAGAATCCTGCTCAACCGCGTCGTCACTCAGGTCGTTAAACGGAACGTGGCAGAAGGGCAATGTGGATTCCGTTTGACCCGCAGCACCATGGATTTGATACTCGCGGATCGTCAATTGCAGAAGTGCAAAGAGCGACGCCAACCATTGGACACAATGTTAGTAGACTCCACTTAGGTCTTTGACACGGTGAACCGCGAAGTATTGTGGCTGGCGTTGGGTAAGTTTGATTACCTGAGTAAGTTTGTAAGTTTAATTGAATGTCTGCACAATGGTATGAGGGCGAGGGTACAACTGAGTGGACAAACTTCGGATGACTTTGCTGGTATGAAGCAAGGATGTGTCTTAGCCCCTGTCCTGTACAACGTTTACCTAAATGTAATGTCTTGTGGTTTGGATGATGCTTGTGATTACGGTGTCCGTGTGGAGCACAGTATGGAGGTGGGTTACTGAACATCCGTCATTTCGAAGCGAGAACCCGGGCGTATGAGACAACTATCCGTATGTTGCTGGTTGCTAACGATTGTGCGTTGTTTGCACACTGCGCGGATGAGTTGTGGCACATGACTTTGGCTCTTGCTTCGACAGCGGCCAAATTCGGGCTCAACATCAACACAAGCAAGACTGTTCGTCCTTCGCAGTCTTCGTCAGGAGTGGGATCCGTGAGCGTGCATAAATCTAGGATGCCAATGACGTGTTAGAGAGGCATCAAAGTTTTGCTACCTTAAGAGCGTATTACCAATCGACCTGCCAGTTGTGCAAACGTGAATGAAAGGCAGCTGCTGCATTTGGCAAAGTGATATATATATATATATATATATATATATATGGGTAGAAATATGGTTGGCATAATTTTTAATTGCGTGAGGAATTTAAATCCAATTCATAATTGATGCCGAAACTGTACGTCGGGTAGTCAGAATCCGGCAAATGAGGAGTTGGGAGAAACAGTAAGCGCATCCACTTTATTTAGAAATTAACCTGCGCCGCTCATAGGCGCAGTCACTCATTAAATCGAGAAATAGACGGAGTGATCAATGCCTAAGATTTATCCGTTCTAGATAGCCTTCACAGACCGAATTACCGGAGATTCACTCGAATTACGGTCCCGATAGAGATAGCATGTCGCAATATAATCAAATAAGAAGTGCATGAGGATTGCCATGAAGCAGAGGTCAAAGAATCAAAATCCGCAAAGGAATGGAATTCGTACAGGACAGTCTACTGCGGATAAAAAGGAGTGCATTTGGTTAGTGCTTGTACAAGCTCAACAAAGCAAAATCACTCGAAACGATCACATTCTCTTGGTATTAGTAATCCGAATCTGTAGTACAATACACATACTAGAAACTTGGCTTCCAAGAGATCAGCAGTTCGGTCGCTTGAACTTAAAGGTCAGAATAGAGTTCAATTCATTAGAAGGGGGTTCCAAAGCGTAGTTGACTTGCTCTCCAGTTTAGGTAGTTGCAGTACTCTACTGATGCATATTGAATGACACCTCTCAGACCTGAATAGGCCACACCGGTTTGATTAGCTGTTCGTCAGATACGATTCCTGGAAGCCCGGTTTGTCTAAAAAATTATGCACCATTTGGATTACGACAAATTCATATCCGAATGTGCGTATTCCATCGTCGGGTAGTGACGACGAATGCAGGATGGCTCAAGCATCATAAGTCAGTTCGAGGAGCAAGGTAGTAACAGACATCAAGGAGAGTGTGCGGAGTGGATGTTCTCGAATCAAGTCGACTATACATAGATGTGATGGTAAGACACTACATTTAGATGCCCGTTGCATAGCGATCGGTCGGGTTTAACGATTTTGGGTCAACGGTCTGAAAGCTGGTCAATCGCTGCAGAGGCGAACTGAAGGTTAGCATGCAATCGATTTCTATCGACATTGAACGAAACTCGAACGCTGGCTGAGAATGTAATAGAAAGGAGATTTGTTCTGCGAATGATTCTAATTGACTCGAGATATAAAATGAGTTTGCGTTCTATGAATAATGAATTTCTGATCGAGGCCCAG